TTCTCAGTGAGGGGGAGAGGTAACGGCGGCCTGCCACATCATTAAAAGGTGTAATGGAGCACCCGAACGTGAGAACCACTGAGTTAGTCGGAATCTTAAACGAGTTCGCTAACTCAATTAATATGCCTAGGACTTCAATGCTAAAAGACAGACTTTGTAAGGAAGTTGCTTCACCTTACACTCATTGGCATTTGGTGGTCTGACACATTGCTCAGGTTGCGGATCAGTCGATCGTGATTCAACATCTTCATACCGTCTCGTATCACCATTGCACATTATCGTTTGCTTCTTGCTTTCAAGATGTGCTGATCCTTGTGCGTATACATATCCTTTAATAGGGTCAATGTTGATGCCGTCATTCATACAAAAGTCATTGCTAGTCCAAACATAAACTCGAACAAGAAATTCACTTCCGAAAGGACATGTTTTCCTGATAGCTCAGTCGCAGAATTGCATTTTACACCGAAGTTTTCGCTCATATATAACTCAACCAAATTTAGGAGAACCGATATTTGAGAGCATCTGACTTCGAATAGTCCAAACAACCATGAGACATTCATACGAAAAAGATTTCTTGTATCCCCTTCAAGTAAACAGATAGGTATTCACTGAGATGCGCGATCAAATTTCCGGAATTGTCAAATTCGAAAGAATAAAGCTCTCCAATGTGTAGAGTATCGAATTACATGCAGATTTTCGAACGCTCCGATTGAGAAACAGAGGATTTCTTGCTAGCAAGAGTGGGTGGTTCATACGAGCAGACTATAAAAACGATTGGAATCGAAAAATGAAATCTGCTGAATTCATTACGAAAAATAAAATGCAAGAATGTGATTTTGCTTCTTTTCATTGCTTCCGAGTAGTTTTAATGGATCATCTCATTAAAGCGCTTTACATAGCGGGACATCTTACTGCAGTCAAGAGACATAAAATTAGAGCACTAATAAAATTTTATTATTCTTCGACAGATTTAATTGCGAACAATTTGATGGCTGCACGATATGTGCGATATTTGATATGCATCTCCCCCACAATACGACTAAGAATGCAATCACCTGGTTTACATTGGTAGACAAACGCTGTTTTGCCGAGAGCGTATTGCTCGCCGCGATACGTGAAGAAAGTGGCATTCTGAAGAGAATTATAACCAGTTGAATAATGTATTTCCACTGAATGAAAATCTTTTCTTGCGTTAGAAGCTGAATGGGTTGTTTTGCAGAGTTGTGAGTGCATGAGAAATGTGCAAAAAACGTAGAATTGCTCATGCGCAGCAGTCGACTCACAGCAATATTCCTCAATGTTTCTTGACCCATAACGCATTTGAAATAACGCACTCGTTGACAAAGTTACGCACACCGAGCAAAAAA